TTCCATTAGCCTCCTGTGTTGTAACGGCTTGGGTAATGGGTTGTGTGGTGACAAATGACCCAGGAGCTTAAAGCACAAGATCCAGGATATCTCCACAACAAAACTCACAAGGCCATCACACAACCCATTACACCAACATCAACTCCATCAACCAATCAAGAGGCAATAGCACAGCCAACCAGACCAGCAAACCACCCCCCCTCCCCCAGTATTTATAGAGAGACGGCAGCTCCGATCACACACTGCTTGCACTGGCACGAAGTCGAAAGCACCAGCCTGAGGATGGCGAGTGGGACCTCGCCGAAACGTCACCAAGATACTCTTAATCTTACAAGGGAAAAGACGCGAACACACCTAGACCTACATACCTGTACCCGTGAAAATCTACGAAAACATCTATAGTATAATGTATACATCATATATACAGAGGGCACTGTTGACTAAGAGAGGGGATTTTCTTATAAAGAAGCACTTTATAACAAATCTTCTCAAAGTACTATAAACGTCCAGTAATTAACCACCTGTCTTCTTTGTATACTTCAAATAATTTACTACATGGTACATTCAAGTTTATTTTTGATATTCTAAGTACAAGAAATTTTGCATAAGTGAATAAAAGGAAAGGAAAGCCAAGATTTGTAGCCAATATAAAAATCCACATGAAGTGATGGAAAAATCCAGATAAAATCCAGGAACACTTCCAAAGATTGTGTTCAAAGACCATTCCTTCCATTTATATATTAAATGTGGGAAATAGGCATATAAGAAATGCACATTTGACAATCCAAACCATATAGATTGGAAAGTCTAGACTGGTCAGGTCTCCCCACTAAATCCACACAGCAGATGTTCTGAAATGACCCATTTCCCAACTGCAAAAAGAAAGCTGTAAATGACCCTTTTCTCCATATCCAGCACATAAGTGACACAATCAAAAGGTTAACATTTGAGATTACCCTTTGACATTGGAGATGAGAGGATGCGACATAAAAGCCTGAGTCATAGTTGGCTACTTTCATGAACTTCTGTCAGTCCTCTTTAAACTTCACTATCTTAGAACCATGACTCTGCTTTTTCTTCCTCCTAATCTCCTACACCAAAATCAGAAGATATCAAAATAAAGGTAGAAATATTAAATATTGGAGAAGTACACAAAAAATGAAATTAGAGGGAAAACTCTGCTCCAGAAGTCAAGGTGTACAGTAAAGATCACCTCTGGAGAAGAAATGTTGAACTGAAAACAGCTCCATTGAAGAGACTGGAGCCAACAATTCCAGTGGAATCAAGAATTTGTGAATAGATCAACTCATTAGGATTCCTCTCGGAGAAAAAGAGAAGACTTGAGATCTCCCACAAGTGCTCCAGAGAGTTGTTCCCCACAAGGAGGTAACAAAACACTGGTATCTGGCAGGTTTAGAGTTCTGGGAGCGGAGAACGCCATCTTCACTCAAATCATGGTTGGCCCAGGGTTAATATACTTCTGTTTTCTAGCAACTTTTGGAAATAGTTTATTAACTATTTTTCAGCTATTAGGAACTTTGGAAATGACAGATTTTACAGCACTGTATACATTTTCTTCAACAATAAATAAATAAATAAAAGTTTACTTTTTAAAAAAACATTCACTCTTTTTTGGAATAAACAGGAAAAAAAATTGTGAGAACAGTTTTTTGAAAATTACAAACAGATTAAGGGTCTAGATGGATTTGAAATAAGACTCTGAATTTAATTAAAAAGATCCTTCCCATGGGAAAGCAGTTGTTTTTAATTGTTTAAAAAAATGATAGGTTTGAACTCTGAAAATTGGATACTAGAGGGAAATAAGAATATCTGGGAATAATTGACGCAGGAATTAATTTTAACAGTGTCTGCCTTTATAGATATACTGTGTTTAAAAAATAATATGGAAGAGGAACAACTTTTTCTGAACAAGACTGAGACAGATCTAAAACTGGATTTAAATATGATAGGCGACAACAATGATGTAGAAAAAGATGCTAAATTGTATGTACAAATGAAACTGGATGTTTTAATAATTAAAAGGAATATGTAAATAACAAACCAAAAGATAATTTTCTACACTGGATTTACAAAAGGGACTTGTTAAACTCTTAAAGGATTTTGTGAGAAGGATCAAAGAAAAAATGAAAAGAAATAAAGTTTTGGGACATTGTTTGAAGGGATTAAAGATTGCTAAAAGTAAAAGGAAGGAATATAAAGTTGTTTTATTTGATCAAGGTTAAAATAGATGTTATCTCTCTTATCTCCTTTAATTGAGGTTTGCTGACTAGGACTGAATAACAAGGTTTGAAGGACATTTTTATAGCTAACAGAAGAGATATGGGAAGAAGAGATTATTTGCTGTATTTTAAAAGTTGATAAATTACTAAAATTGTTTATATTTGTTGTGATAAAGGGAAAGTCATTTGTTTATATGTTTTTTTCTTGTTTACTGTTCTTATTTTTTTTCTTGTATTAGTTTTTATCTTTTTAATTATAATATTTAACAAGATTACTATTTAAAAAACCTACAATAAAGAGATTTAGTGACCATAGATAGCTACAGAAGGCCAAGAATTACTGAAAGGAAAAAACTAGAACAAAACAAAGGGAGAATGTGAGAGAAAAAACTACCCTGCATAAACTCATCCCATTGATGGCATACTGGAGAAAGGCATACCCAAGTAATTTCCATAATGCTCCATAATGTCAGGTACATGGATGCAGTTTTATCACTTCTCTAACTATGGTGCCTATTTGGGCATTCAAAATTGCAAGAATGTCTCATAGTATTGTGTGAAGTAATCAACACTGAAAACAGAACCACAAGATGCCCTTAAATAGGTGCCCCATTCATATCAACATAACTTGTAAGGGGACTGTCCCACCAGATTGTATCCTAGAGCAGGGGTCTCCAACCTTGGCAACTTTAAGACTTGTGGACTTCAACTCCCAGAGTTCCTTTGCTGGCTGAGGAACTCTGGGAGTTGAAGTCTACAAGTCTTAAAGTTGCCATGGTTAAAGACCCCTGCCCTAGAGATTAGCTTTGCTGTTTACCTTCTGCTATTCACAAAATCTAAAGTTGGCCTCCAGAGGCAACTATTTTACCATTGCCTCATAGTAAAGTCAACATCAAGCTCAGAGAAAAAGAGGAGCAAGAACTCAAAACAAACACCCATCATCATCTTGGTCCCTCCTTACAACAAGTTCCCACCCATGAAATAAGGGGCATTAGATGCCTCTGGGGTTATGAAATAGAAAGGAAGCCACACATTTATACCTCAGGACAAGCAAAAACTCTCAGCAAATTCTCAGCATCTTTTCAGAATCAGTGTCTGAAGGCTGAACCCTAATAAGGTAGAATTTGATTAGGTAGAATGGGGAATAGGTTTAAAAGTTATGTAACAAATGGAAAAGCAGAAGGAACTTGCTGGAAGTATTATGACAGCAATGGGAGGAATCAAACAAACAATCCATCCTCTAGCTACATGATGTGGAATCGGGGGGGGGGGGGGGGGGAAGAGCACCCCTGGAATTCAATGGGATTGCAGCCTAACTGCAAACTAGAAGATCAATATAGGTCGATTTACTCCATATTTAATATGTTCCTGCTCTGCCTTTTTTTCCATTATGGAACTCAACACAACTCATCTGGAGTTCTTACTTAGTTTCACATCCTGACTTTGATTAATTAGAAGTCTAGGCAGGGAACAAATCCAAGATTAAGTATCAAGATACAGACCAAAATTGTGTATGAGATAGAATGAGGGTACAGTTTGCATTAAAAAATATAGGGAGGCTCACAAAAGCCAGGCAAACTAGGAAAAGGAATGAAAAGTGGGGGGGGGGGGGGGGGAGAAAACACAAAGCCCAGATGGCATGCAGGGAAAGTACAGGAACAGCAGATGGAAAGGGCAGTAAATACAGTCGGGAATGTAGAGGCACAATTCCTACCATCAGTATGGCAAATAATGGGGAAAGTGGCCAGAAAATAGATTATACATCTCACTGATATTTTAGTTATGTTTTCCATTAAAAAACAATTATATATTTAATGACATTGGCCCCTTTGTTGGGTGCTCCATCCCTACCGATTACCCTCCTCCTACTTTATTTCCAACCTTTCCAATCCTGGATGCTGTCAAATTATTGAGCTTTTTTAGACATAATTTAATACAGAAAATTGGATTAGGAGAGAGGTACACAGGTCCTAGGATTAGAAAGGTAAATAGAAAGGAAAAGGGAGGTTATGGATCAGGAAAGCAATTAACAGGGAACAACCCAGTCTAATGGAGAAGAGATGTACAATTACAAATTGGGGAGAGGGGAAAAACACAATATTAATTTAGATTAGTCAGCAATAAGATGGGGGGGGGGGAATGGACCATCACAGGCCCTTCTGGGGAAAAAGGGGGTGGAAGACAGGAGCACCAACCTGATATAAAATGGAAAGCAAAGTTGAATGGGTAACATTAAATTGAGGAAGGGGTGAGAACTGATTTAGCAAGGGATAGTCAACACAAATATTAGATGAGGGCTTTAGCCTTCTAGCTTTTGGGGAGGGAGAAACGACAGGGGGAGGGGAGCTGATCCTAAAAGAAAGAAATCCAGGGGCGAGAATAATGGGGTTCAGAAATATAGATGGGCTAGGGAGGAGGAATGATACAAATAACGATGGGGATGCGCTTGCTTCTCTCCTGAACAATCGCGCATCATCCCCCCATAACCCCCCCCCCTTTCCCCGGAGACTCGAGGCGCTGGGCCGAGGCTACGGGTCGCACAGTTTGCTACCCGGCGATGTCCCCCCAACCCCCTAGGAAGAATCATGGACCGTTCCTTTCCCGGGAGAGCAACGGCATCATCCTCGGCAGCAGCCCAAGCGAGCGCATTCTCGGGGAGGCAGCACCACTCTGACCCCTCAAAAATTCCCCTGCTCCGTTACGAAACCCCCTCCCCGTTCGCCCGGCTGATCCTGATTAGGAGATGGGGGTTGGACTTACATCACTTCCCAGTTTGCTTGACAAAGAAAATCCATCTTTAGCATCTGTAGACCATGGAAGTGGCTGTTTTGGGGAGGTGCTTGCAGGAGATGGGTGCGCGGTAAGGGGGGGGAGCTTCTCCGGTGCTTTTCTTCCTCTTTTGCTGTTGTTTCCTCGGGCTCTTATCCCTCCTCGATTTCCAGCGGCCCTCTCCTTTTCCCCTCCTCCAAGTCTAACACCACAAAATGTGCCGCCGTCAGACTGGCAACACCATAATGCATCCCACGTGGTGGCTTCACCTTTTGTGGCCTAAGGCAGCTTTGCCACACCTCCCCGTGGCCAAAAATTAAGGGGAAAGGGCGATTTCGCTATTGCTACAGGGGAAAAAATGATTTAAAATGGTCCCCTTCCGCCTCCGCCTTCCTTCGGTAGCCTGGAATAGCCTCTGTACTCGCTCGCTCTTCCAGCTCCTATTTCCTGCTCCTGATAACATACACACACGCGCGCGTACACAGAAACACGCGCACACACACACACGCAGGAAACAGTCGCAGAGCAAGAAGTACCTATGGGTGTTTTTTTTTAAAGAGAACCTTCAAAAACAGTACTTTTCCTTCCCCTGCCCTTAAAATATAACAGATCGTAGCATGAACTACATAACATTAAGAATCTTTCCAAAAAGGTTGCCTCAAGAGTTTTGATCAGGGTAAAAATCCAAATACGTTTTCTTTTCTTCAGATAATTCTTAGAAACCACACACACAAGCATGCTGATCTAGCTTCCGTGGATATTCAAGTCTTTTTTCAAGCAAATGATTACTTTAGTAGGATTTACCTACTAGACTAATTATCTCAAGGGTTTTGTGGATCACAGTCTACTTTCTGATGCCTGCATACCCAGAGTAGTGTTTTTACTTGAAAACTTGTCCATACATTTACTTCCACTTTCTACTCACAAAGCTGGATATTGTTGGATATACACTGCTCAAAAAAATAAAGGGAACACTTAAACAACATAATGTAACTCCAAGTCAATCACACTTCTGTGAAATCAAACTGTCCACCTAGGTAGCAACACTGATTGACTATCAATTTCACATGCTGTTGTGCAAATGGAATAGACAACAGGTGGAAAGCATAGACAGTTAGCAAGACATCCCCAATAAAGGAGTGGTTCTGCAGGTGGTGACTACAGACCACTTCTCAGTTCCTATGCTTTCTGGCTGATGGTTGGGTCACTTTTGAATGCTGGCGGTGCTTTCACTCTAGTGGTAGCATGAGACGGAGTCTACAACCCACACAAGTGGCTCAGGTTGTGCAGCTCATCCAGGATGGCACATTATGTGGCAAGAAGGTTTGCTGTGTCTGTCAGCGTAGTGTCCAGAGCATGGAGGCGCTACCAGGAGTCAGGCCAGTACATCAGGAGATGTGGAGGAGGCCGTAGGAGGACAACAACCCAGCATCAGGACCTCTGCCTTTGTGCAAGGAGGGACAGGAGAAGCACTGCCAGAGCCCTGCAAAATGACCTCCGGCGGGCCACAAATGTGCATGTGGCTGCTCAAACGGTCAGAAACAGACTCCATGAGGGTGGTATGAGGGCCCGACGTCCACAGGTGGGGGTTGTGCTTACAGCCTAATATCGTGCAGGACGTTTGGCATTTTCCAGAGAACACCAAGATTGGCAAATTTGCCACTGGTGCCCTGTGCTCTTCACAGATGAAAGCAGGTTCACACTGAGCACATGTGACAGACGTGACAGGGTCTGGAGATGCCATGGAGAACGTTCTGCCGCCTGCAACATCTTCCAGCATGACCGGTTTGGCAGTGGGTCAGTAAGGGTGTGGGGTGGCATTTCTTTAGGGGGCCGCACAGCCCTCCATGTGCTCGTCAGAGGTAGCCTGACTGCCATTAGGTACCGAGATGAGATCCTTAGACCCCTTGTGAGACCATAAGCTGGTGCGGTTGGCCCTGGGTTCCTCCTAATGCAAGACAATGCTAGACCTCATGTGGCTGGAATGTGTCAGCAGTTCCTGCAAGACAAAGGCATTGATGCTATGGACTGGCCCGCCTGTTCCCCAGACCTGAATCCAATTGAGCACATCTGGGACATCATGTCTCGCTCCATCCACCAATGCCACATTGCACCAGACTGTCCAGGAGTTGAGGAATGCTTTAGTCCAGATGTGGGAGATCCCTCAGGAGACCATCCGCCACCTCATCAGGAGCATGCCCAGGCGTTGTAGGGAGGTCATACAGGCACGTGGAGGCAACACACACTACTGAGCCTCATTCTGACTTGTTTTCAGGACATTACATCAAAGTTGGATCAGCCTGTAGTGTTTTTTTCCACTTTAATTTTGAGTGTAACTCCAAATCTAGACCTCCATGGGTTGCTAAATTTGATTTCCATTGATAATTTTTGTGTGATTTTGTTGTCAGCACATTCAACTATGTAATTGTTTTTAATAAGAATATTTAATAAGAATATTTCATTCTTATTAATGAAATAATATTTAATAAGAATATTTCATTCATTCAGATCTAGGATGTCTTATTTTTGTGTTCCCTTTATTTTTTTGAGCAGTGTATATTGTTATTGGAGAGGTGGAAATGCAGAAGCAATGAGTTGATTAACATGATTTGAATTCACAATAAGACTTCAGATGCGAAATAATTCTTGGGACTTATACCTGACAAGATCAGAAAGGGCTTTTAAAAATGAAAATAACTTACATCACAAAGCCCAATTGCCTCATTTAAATACATGCAACAGGGACAATTCTTAATTTTCATTACCATGTATCATGTTTAAAACTGACACTACCTTTGAATTAGAGAAAATATTCATAGAGGATATCTACAAATTATGTCACAAAAATATTGTACACTTTATTTGATATAACGTAACATGAAGATCCTCACAGCTCAATGCATAATCATTTTATCAGGCATAATATATGTCTTCAAAAGCATATGGTTATTTTGCAGACCATAAATGCATCTTTATTTAAGCTTCTGAAATGTACAAAACCATCTATGCTACAAAATTATCTACATGACAACAATAATTAAAACTGTATAAGTAGTCCTCAACTTACAACCATTAATTTAGTGACTGTTTAAAAGTTCCAATGGCACTGAAAAAAATGACATGATCATTTTCACACTTACAACTGTTGCAGCATCCCTGTTGGTCACATGATCAAAATTCATACACTTGGCAACCTGATCACCTTTTATGACTTTCTGACAAGCAAAATTAATGGGGAAGCCAGATTCACTTAAATTTATATTTGAATGTATTTTTTCTTTTATGTACACCGAAAGCCTTTGCATCAAGACAATTCCTTGTGTGTCCAATCACACTTGGTCAATAAAGAATTCTATTCTACTGTATTTCTCAAACAGCAAAAAGATTGGTTTATCAAATATTCACATCAACTCTGGAAAAATATCATCTAGGAATGGTGTAATGTGTTATTTTTTCCTTTATTCACATGAGAAAATTGAGGCACATTCTTGACTTCATTACTATAGTAAGTAATTTCACAGTGTAAAACAAGACTTTTTGCAAACATCTCTGCAAAGATGGTGGAAATGACACATATTTACAATAACATTTTTTTTCTGGTTTCACCATTACAATTTTGCTGAAACTAGAATGTAGAATGAATAGTTGTAGAACTATCCTGTGTCAAATGTGACCCTTTGCACAACTCATAATCTTTCTTCCTATACCTTGAACATGATTAAATTGGGAAAGTGAATTAAACCGAAGTACAGATGCTCCTGAGAAACAATCAGACAAAATCTGAAAAATGTCATATTTTTGCCACATTGGGATCCTTAACTTGATATTTTCCTCACAAATCAGGAATAAAGTCAAGACAAACGATTAGATATTATTTTTCCTTTATTCAAATAAACCAGATTTCCAAACTCTTTATCTATCCAGTATTTCTCAATCTTTTAAGATGGGTGGACTTCAATTCCCAACATTTCATAGCCAATATGATAGTTGCAATCAATTCTAGGAGTTAAAAGTTCACCCATCTGAAAGTGGCCAATTTACATACAACATGTGACAGTGGGAAGACTTTTGACTATTCGGTAAAGCATAACAAAACAAAAAAAGAAAAAAAAAGTCTGGATTCACATAACCATGCATGATTTTTACAAATATAATATATTGAATAGTTCAAAATCATCTGGTTTCCCACAATACAGTAAAACAAAAACACCTAGGGTAACAAACTCAGTCCTTATTTAGTCAGGCTGGGACCTTAGTGGTGAACCTATGGTACACGTGCCGGAAGTGGCATGCAGAGCCATAACTGCTGGCACGCAAGCACTCATCCAGAAAAGGTCTACTGCGCATGCGTGCGCACCGCCTGCCCAAAAGCTGATAGTGAGGTATCTGGCGTGCATGTGCTGGGTCACGGCGGCATGCAGGAGACATGCATGTGCAGAAGCAAGTAGCGGGGTCACGCGGATTGCATGCACATGCGCAGAAGCGTGCAGCATGGGTTGCGCAGGTTCTACGCGCATGCGCAGGAGGCATGGGGGGCGCTGCACATATTGCCTTCTAGGTGATGGCATGCGAGGACAAGCAGACAAGCGCGCACGCAATTATTGGCACAGGAACCCAAAAAGGTTAGCCACCACTGGGTTGGGATAATCTCACAATTTCTTGGAGGTCTGCTATGTAGTTATAAACTGTGTTTTAACAGTTTTTAGGGCAGTTTCAAGAAATCAGTCTAGGAAAGAAATAGTTTTTATTTAATTTCTCTAACTCCCAGAGTCACTGCAGTCCATCTGTCCAATCTTTAAGCAATACTAATATGCTGGACATTAAGCATGAATTCCCCTCTCACAGGCTTATTATTTGTACAGGTACCAAGATCTTACAGTTTTTCATCTTGTTTCTTCAAAACTTTTAGCAACTGGAGTTTTTCAGTTCCATCTTTATTCCTAGTTTGTCAGAACCTCTGATATTGGCCCAATTGTGTGGTTCCCTGGACCTATAGCAGGGCCATATAAAAATCTATCTCTCAGCATAGATTAAAAGAAAAGAAAATGGAATGCCATTATTAAAGTCTTATGTTAAATATAAAAATAATTCACACCTCAAATATCCAGGGGGTTAATTATCAGAATATTAATTTTCAAAGTAACTGAAAAGCATCTAAGACCTTTTAGAAATAGAGTATGACATAATGTCACCCTTGGGAACACTTTATATATTTTTAATGGAATGGTAATGTATATCTTAAATATAGGCTTGGCAGAACTATAATCTATTGTAAAAGATGCAAGACAGCATTAAGATACACAACTGTTAATCTATTTTTTTTTTTGCTAAAAACCAAGTAATTTTCATAGGACTTGATAAATACAGTTTCAGAAGTGGTATGCCACGTAGAAGCAGAA